GGAAGAGTTTTAGACTAGATGTGGGCTCGCGCCCAGCCGCCTTCCCTGGTTCCGGCCTCGGGCAGTTGACTTCTCTGCGGGTGCCGAGGTGGGGAGGGAGACAGGCTGGCGTGGACGTTGGTAAGCCTCTTCCTGTGAGCCTGAGACTCAGCTGCTCCTTCTCCACCCCGTGGTCTCCTGTCCAGGTCACTCTCATCCACGCCCAGGTGGCCCTTGCCGACAAGGAGCTCCTGCCCTGTGTTCGGCAGGAAGCGAAGGAGATCCTGCTGCAGAAAGGCGTTCAGCTGCTGCTGAGTATGTGCGAGGCCCCCTCCTGCTCGCCCTCTCCCCCGCCCACCGCCCCAGCTCCACGGCCCCCTGGGTCCCGGGGTTGGGCATTTGAGCCTTGCTGGCCTGCTGTGGGCTGTGTCTGCCCGAGGACTGGGCAGAGGCCCCGGTGCTCAGGGGACTCCTGGGCCACAGGGGTAGCCCCGGCCTGGCTTCTCCAGGATTTGACCTGAATTATGGTGTCTCTGTGGTACAATGTGTTTGGTTTTTTTTTTTTTTTTTTTTGGCGTGTGTTTTTCTTTGGTTTATATTCAGAAGGTGGTGAGGAGTGTGAGCTTTGTCGAGGCCAGGAGGAGGGGGAGAGCACCAAACAGCTTGTTTAGAGACTGGGGCCCTGACCCTGGCACGGTGACTGGCGCACTTCATGGGGTTCCGCAGGGAGGGGTGACGTTTCTGCTCTGGGCAGACCCCTTCCAGCTCCTGGTCTCCTTGCGCGGGGCTGCCCACTAGTGTCACCACCTTTCCTCTGAGGCAGCGTAGAGTGTAGGCGAGCTTCTGGACTTTTCTCTTCTTCCTTTTTTTTTTTTTAAAGATTTTATTTATTTATATTTATTTATTTATTTATCAGAGAGAGAGAGAGAGGGAGAGGGAGAGCACGAGCAGGCAGTGGCAGGCAGAGGCAGAGAAGCAGGCTCCCTGCTGAGGAAGGAGCCTGATGCGGGACTTGATCCCAGGATTCTGGGATCGTGACCTGAGTCTAAGGCAGCGGCTTAACCGGCTGAGCCACCTCTTGGTCCCTCTTCTGGACTTTCTTGCTCACACCTTAGTGGGTGGTGCACCTGGAGCGCCTCCCTGCCTGGTGAGGATGGCGTGGCTGGCTGACGTTCCAGGAGGCATGCTTGAGGTCTTCCTCCAACAGCTTTTCCCAGAACTTCTTGGGAAATTCAGCCTCACTTTTCCACACTGCTTTTGGGAACTTTCCTGACTTTGGATCCTCCGGGGTGGCCGGATGTCCACCTTGTGCCTCTTGGGGGCAGCAGGGTGGACTGGCAGAGGGGCTTGCAGGAAGGTGGGAGCCGAAGGATCTCTTAGGTGGGCCCCAGCCTTGATGCCGTGCCCACCCCCTGCCGGCCTCCCGCTCACAGATCCCACTTGACAGGTGAGCGCGTGAGCAACCTGGAGGATTTGCCTCTGAACGAGTATCAGGAGTGCATCCAGGTGCGCACGGACAAAGGCACAGAGGTGGCCACCAACTTGGTGATCGTCTGCAACGGTATTAAGATCAACAGCTCAGCCTACCACAGTTCGTTCGGTGAGCAGGAGCCGGGGCCCACTGCCTGGGCCACCGCCCCACTGTCCGGCTATGGCAGGCCCTGCAGGCCTCTCCCCCGGCATCAGTGTCGCCCCGCCTCCCTTCCCCTCTCCCCCAGCAGCTCAGGTCTCTTCTGAATGGTGACATCAAACTTTAAATTCAGGCTTGGGTCCACTCTCCCGGTGCCTTCCTCCACTATGGCCCTGACTTAGGCCAAAGTGGCGAAAGTGACCGATCTTTCAAAGTCGGAGCCCGCCCCCTCGTGGTGAGAGCGGGGAACAGGTTTCAGGGGGAAGGAAAGATCCACCGTTTCATTTTCTGTGAACAGGGAGGGGAGGCAATTCCTGGGTCAGGCCTTTGCCTATTTATTCACAGGTGTGCTGTTCTCCCCAGACCCTGATCCAAACGTGGAATGACATTCTGGGGAGTAGAGGAAATAATGTAGCCTCAGGCTCAGTAGTGAACTCCCCAGCTAACTGGAGGCTGGGGGAGGTGGTGTCCTGGCCTTCGTGTGTGAGCTGGAGACTCTGTGACTCTTCCTCGGGCCCCAGGATTGCCGTGTCCCCAGGCTGCTCCCATTTACTTCGTAGCACCCTTCCTGGACAGGGAAGTCCTGTTTGGGTCCTGCGGGAAAGAACTGGCCAGTCCCAGCAGAAGGAAACCGGTCCAGGCCACATGTGGGGTGCGGGATTGAGGGCCTGTAATGGACAGAGATCCCAGCATTTTACACCCATTTGTCTTAATATTTTCAAAAGTAATTCTTTCAGGTCCCTTAAAAAGAAAAGTTTATCATTTACTAGAGTCCTGCATTTACTTAAAAAGTCTGATCCATGTTCAAGGGGAAATTTAAGACTTGGCTGAGCCGCCACGTTGTCATTGTGAGTCATTGTCAGTCGTGGTAATTTATAGCCACGCAGGTTGTGTAAAACGGCAGGTGCTGTCTTTCTGACCAGCTTCCCTCCTGGAATAGTAACCTTGACTTTGCAAGAAGAGTTCTGAGATGGGTCTTGAGGCAGAACTAAATCGAGGATGTGCCTTTGGAGGGGGGCTTAGCCGGCACCAGAGGGCCCTCTTCTTGGTGTTCTAGTGGCCGCATAACAGGGTCTCTGGGTTACCTTTGCCCGGCAGAGAGTCACCTGGCCAGCAACGGTGCTCTGCGAGTGAACGAGCATCTCCAGGTGGAAGGCTGCAGCCGCGTCTACGCCATTGGCGACTGTGCCGATGTGAAGGAGCCCAAGATGGCCTATCACGCCGGCCTCCATGCCAGCGTGGCTGTGGCCAACATTGTCAACTCCATGAAACAGAGGCCCCTTAAGGCCTACAAGCCAGGTAAGGAAGCTGCACGTACCTCAGAGACTCGCCCATCTTCCTAAAAGTCTTATACAGTTCCTAGTCCTCAGATGGGAGGCCCCAGGAACAGCAGGCCCATGGATGGTGAGCGGGGGTCTGGTTTACCCACCCGTGTCTGCCCCACAGGGGCACTGACGTTCCTTCTGGCCATGGGGAGAAACGATGGTGTGGGCCAGATCAGTGGCTTCTACGTGGGGCGACTCATGGTTCGGCTGGCCAAGAGCCGGGACCTATTCGTCTCCTCCAGCTGGAAGACCATGCGGCAGTCTCCACCTTGAGCTGGAGCAGGGCGGGAGACGAGGTACTGCTGGGGTTGGGGGTGGGGGATGGGGGACAGATTGCTCGCTAAGTGCTAACCACTTGACGAATGCCGAAGGGTAGATGCCCTTTTCCTGGAGTGAGATGCCGGGGATGTACTGATCAGACACAACTTACAGAAAGCCAAAACTGGGAGAGGGAGCAAGTGAGCCATTGGAAAAAAGACACCCTCTAGAGGATTCTTTCCGGGTTTGGAGAGGTCTGCTTGCCTTTGTGCTGGCTGAGGGGTTCACTTGGTCCTGGCGAGAGGTATAGCTGGCTTTCTCTTCCCCAGGCTCCTTGCATGGGCACATGTGTTGGGACTCAGGGCTCTCAGAGCAGGAGAGAGCAGGGTCTCCTGGTGGCTGGCATCCTGTTAGGGCAGGAAGAGGAGCCTGCATGGTGACACCAGCTATGGAAGGGGAGCTGGGGTAGACATAGCCTGCACCCCAAGCCTCTCCCGTCGCATCCTGGGTGGGGAAGCCGTGCATTCTGCGATGCCCAGGTTGTTAAGAGGAGCCTAATTTCAAACGATTTGTCCCTATGGTCTTTCATATTCACAAAACTTTCTATATTTCCTTTTCTAAGTTCTGATTATACACCTTAGGTTACATTTAAGAAGAAAAAATTAGATAAACTGCCCTCCCGTTTAGCCCATCCTAACGGAGAGTGAGTTCTTAACAAAGCTAGTGGGTTGAGACGGAAGCCTGGCCGGCCAGCCGCTAGAGATGTTAAGGAGAAGCAGCTGAGCTAACGGGACCCTTGGGTGGGCTGCCGTTGGGCTCACATTCAGAGAGCAGAGTGGGACTTGCAGGTGAACCCCTGTGTGCTTCTAGGCTACTCAGTGGATTCTGTAGGGGACAAAATTCCTGCTGATGCTGGGGCAGGGGACCCTGTGGGAACCTCTGGGGTTCTGTACTTCTGGTTTCCTGGCTAACCCCAGTGACACTTGTGGGGGTCCTGCCTGCCACTGGCTGTGTTAAGGTACATAAATGACTCCTGTATCGGGGAAAGGACTTCAATTAGAGGGAGTCTCTTCTGGAAGACAGAGGTTAAATCCCCAGAGTGGAAGTGGTTGCTGATTTCATCTGCATAAATGCAGGCCCTGCTCATTTTTGATGGTGGCTTCTGGGTCCTTGGCCAGAGTCCTGAGGACACAGCCTTTGGGGGTTCTCAGTCCTCCCTGCCTGGGCTGTGGCCCAGGTCAGTTCCATTTGTTCTCTAGGCCTACGTGAGACCTGTGCCTCTCTCCCGTAGGATGGCTGCCCACCGGAGGCTTCACCTAGGACTACCTTCCTGTGGACCAAGGCCAACCAGGCTCCTCTTGCCCAGACCAGTCCGTGCTGTCTGCCCTGGGGTCTGGCAGGGTGGGCGTCTCAGCCTGTGAGTGACAGGCCTGTTCTATTTATAACATTTTACAAGTGTCCACCCAAGGGGACACAGTTTTCTAAACTGAGGAAAATGTTGCAATAAAAGATTATGTTGTAAGAAAGACACTGGATCTTCTTTTTTTTTTTTCCTTTCATTTTCTTTTTCTTTAAAAACAAAATAAAACAAAACAAAAGCCTGAAGCAAAATCTTTTTAGGAGTAGATACAGATGTCATGGGGGGAGGGGAGGGGGCACTAAAAACAGAAAAGGAAAGCACCAGTGAGACGCCTTTCTCATGTTCTTCTCTCTGCCCCCGAACACAGACAGCCGACAAAGCCCAAGTCACTTTTATGCCCTCTTCCCTTGCAAAAAGGAGAAACAAGGTTTTAAGAATTTTGAAAGGATTTTTTTTGTGTGTGTGTGTAAAAGTCAATGCTATAAATCTAAAACGAAGTCTGTCTTTTAAAAAAGTTCTAAAACAACAGGAAGGAAACACATGAAAGAAACCCCTCGTGGAGACCTGGTTGATTACAGATGGAGCCTCTTTGAAACGAGAATAGAAAAGGCAGAGAGCTCGTTCCGTGGGCAGGCCCCGCTCTGGCAGCCCCCGTGACCCGCTGCCCTCCGCTCCCCTGCCGTCACCCTTCCTCTCTCCTCTTAAAAAAGAAACCCCTCTCCTGTGACTTGGATCCTCCTCTGATTCCTGTGGGCCACCATGGCTGGGCGGGGGGCGTCTACTTGGTGTCGAGCTTGGCCATCTCCTGCACGTAGATGCCGATGCTCTCGCTGTCAAAGAGCAGGAAGTAGACATTCTTCAGCGAGGACGAGCTTGAGTCGTCAAAGTGGGCTGAGATGGCTTTGAGGGTCACCTGGGCGGCCATCTGTTTGGGGAAGCAGTTTCTGTGTTGGAGGGAAAGAAGAGCTGATGTCACTTTGGTTCCCAGGACCCACGGGGTAACTTGGCCCTCAACCCGGGGCCGGGGGCAGCGCGGTGCCTTCTTATCTTGGCACCAAGCCTTTTGGTTTCTGTCTCATGGGGTCTCCCTGTGTGCCGGCGGGGCCACGGACCACCTCCTTTGAGCCGAGGCAGAGGGGCAGCCTGGGACGGGGCAGGCAGGTCCTCCTCTATGGGAGCCACGCTGGCTGGGACAGGTGTGGTGGGCTCAGCCCAAGTCACAGGGACATAGGAATCCATGTCCCCCGCCTCCAGTCGAGCCAGGCTTTAAAACCACGACCAGCTCAGCACTGACATAGCTGGTGTTCTAGAACGCACAGCTAGTGTTTCTGAGCGCCCTCGAAACGGCTGCATGGTGTCAGGTTGTTGGTGAAAGGGGAAAATGTATGCTCACTGGTCCTCTCGCGGGCCCCCTACGGACATGCCACGGGCCCCCTACGGACGTGCCGCTGTAATCTGAGTGTGGGGGCCTCCAAGCACCCAGCGGAGATGTGGCTGTCCGCCGGGCTGGGCCATGGCAGCAGCCTCCGGGGACACAGCCATCGTAGTCGTCTGGGGTTGGCCACCAAGCCCCCTCGGGCAGGGATGGGATGAGCCCGCTGGACAGGAATTCTCATTTGCCTGTGGTGTCCCAGCCCAGAACATCACAACATGTGGGCCCGGCTGCACAAAGACTTCAGCCCGCTGTGCCTCTGGGCCAGGCTATGGAGACCTCATACTGCTGGCTCAGCCTGGGCTGGGATGGTAGCAGGAAGCAAGGCCTCACCATTCCCCTCAGAGCCTTCCCCTCAGAGAACATCTTGGGTATGTAAATCCCATCCATGTTACAGAGGGGCATCTTGTGAGAGAGAGCATGTCCAAAACAGAAGCAATAGCTCGCTTTGACTGCGAGGGTGATGGGAGAGGACAGGCCACCCGTGAGGACAGACAGCCTCATTCCCTACCTGCTGCGGCTCTCGCACTCAGCTGCATCCGTGACAATTAGAACCAGCACTTATAATTCCCAAAGCAGACCTTTGGTGGGAGCCTGTCCCTTCTCTGGGAGTGTCTGTGAGGGCCGCAGCCTCAGGCTGTCCTCCCCTCCACCCCGGCAGCTCACGAGCCCCCCGGCACTCTGAGGTGGTAGTTTTTTGTGGGGCGGGGGTCCGAGACTCTGCACTCTAACACACTAACACAGCAGAGTCAGCACGGCCTGGCCACGGGCAACACTTGGAATAGCAAGACATTGGAGCCTGGTGTTCTTTTAAGGAGGCTCCTTGACCAGCAGAGCCCAACGCGAAGCTTGAACTAGTGACTGACCCCGAGATCACGGCCTGAGCGGAGATCAAGGGTCGGACGCCTAACCAGCTGAGCCCGGAGCCTGGGGTTTTCCGATCACGTGCTCTGACGGGGCAGCCGCTGGGGATGCGGGCCTTGACCATGGAAGCCCGTCAGAGAAGCTCCGCTCCCAGCTCCTCTCCAGCGCCGCCCTTCACACTCTTTCCGAGGCTGGAAACTGGGTTTCTGGCCCAATGACCAGGTCAGTGCACTTGGCTGTGCCGGCAGCCCTCGGTCGTCTCCTCTCGATTGGCCAGACTGGGTGTGACTGTGGGAGAGCCGCAGGCCACAGTCTGGAAGGGGAGACCCCCGGCCTCCCGCGGCCATCGGAGGAATGCATCTTACCTGCCGCTGGGGAACGGGGGGAACGCCACGGACTTGAGCTTCTTGTCCTCGGCTGCCGACAAGCAGTTTTTGATGGTCTCTTCAAGCTGTTCTTCACATTTGTCCGAGCCCCACTGAGGGATGTGACAGTGGATGACAAACTTGGCTGCAAGTCCGCTGGACTGGCTGACAGCGGCTGGGACAGGAGGGAAACACGGCGCGTTACTTCCCATACCTCCCCCTTTAGCCGGGGGCCGAGGCCGGACCTCACGGAAGCCTCTCGGCTGTGCGTGCACGGGGCAGTGAGAGAAGCTGGCTGGGCACCGTTCTGTGCCTCTGACGGGACCGGATGGCTGCCAGAGAGCGGGAGCCCTGTCCGGCCTGCCGTGGCCAGTGGACACCGGCTCCAGACGAATGCGTCAGCGGCCCTCCCGTGCTCCCCCTGGCTGCTAGGGTGGGCGACCTCCTGACCATGGCTCCCAGCAGGAGGTACCCACCAGCATCTTCTCTGATGGCTGAGTGGCCTGACCCCAATGTCCTACATCCAGATCCTTGGAACCTGGGGACGTTACCTTACATGGCGAAAGGGGCTTTGCAGAGGTGAGTTAGTGAAGACCTGCAGGATGGATTATCTGGGGTTATCGGGGGGGGGTGCTCTAAATGTAATCACCTGGGTCCTCCTAAGCGGGGGGGAGATGGGTGGGCAGGGAGGTCAAAGGTAGGAGCAGTGATGGGAGGAGAAGGTGACTGGAGCGACGCGGCCAGGAGCCAGGGAGTGGGGTGGAAGTGGGTCTCGTCTTGGCTGTGGTGTGTTTTGCTTGGCACACTGCTTGTGCGAGAAGCAAGTGATGCTGGCGGGGAGGGGGCTGAGGCTGTGCTGGGAACCCGGGCTCGAGGCCACACTCACCTTCAGCAACTTCCAAAGGGCCTTGGGATTTGCGAAGCTCCTTCACCGTTTCCAAGAACTCTTTGCCGCCAGCCTTTTCCAAGGCCTTCCCTGAGGAAGAGAACAAGGGAAGCCATTGCTGTTGTCTTTTCCAAAGTCATTTGCCACACCGTGTCACATAGTTTCAGTAGGCCAGAAGACAAACCCACCCACCACTCTGAGAAAGCAGGAATCACGCTTGCAGTGGGAGTCCTGGTTGCCAGTGGTCATTGCTGGCCGGGGTCTTGGCTTTTGTCCCACAGGACTTGGATTCTAGCAAACTCTCTCTCTCTCTCTTTTTTTTTTTTTAAGATTTTACTGCATATTTTAGAGAGAGCTCGCTCTCCTGCAAGTGGGCAAAAGGGCAGAGGGAGAGGGAGAGAGAGAATCTAAAGCAGACGCCTCGCTGAGTGGGGAGCCCAATGCCAGGCTCCCCCTCCCAACCCTGAGATCATGGCCTGAGCTGAAATCAAGAGTCAGACACTCAGCCGATGGAGCCAACCAGGTGCCCCTCTAGCAAACTCTTTTAAGGGGACTTTGAGGGAGTGATGGCGTCATAAGCAGCCTCAGGACATGAAACCTAAAGGTGATTTTTAAAAATGGAAGTATAGTAGACACATGAGGCTACATGAGTTTCAGGCACACCACACAGTAATGGCACAAGTCTACACGTTATGTTGTGTTCCCCACCGCGGGGGCCGCTGCCTGGCACTGTTTGGCGCCCTTGTAATACCATTGCCTACGTTACTCCCTATGCTGTAGTAAAGGTGAGCTTTAAAAAAAAATTGGGGCTCCAGTGTTCTGAAGTCTGGGTTCAGTCCCCATGCTGGGTTGGTCAAATTCAGTGTCTTGGTGATTTGAAGGCAGTGCTTTCTCACAGAACCTGCAGCCTGCCTCTTGTCACCAGGTCCCAAGGTTGGTCCCAGGCCAGTGGTGACAGATGACTCAGCAGGAACCTTGGGGCGGGGCTGGGGTGGGTGGAGAGTTTTAGGGCCCTACTCCCCGCTCACCACCTATGTGTGGTAAGTCTTGGTCAGAGGACAGGCACAGGCCCAGGGCGGCCAACAAGGGTCTTTCTCCAAACCAGGTCGTGGTTTTCAATGGAAAAAGGCAGTTTGGAGAGGCTAAACTCTAAGGACCTTCCTGATGGGAGATCCCTTGGCTCTTTGATGTTAGGACAATTCTTGGTATCTCAGAATCATGCTTCCACAGAGGCCAAGAGGAACCCCCAGGAGATGGCAGGATGCCCCTTCTGGCTGGCAGTAACCCTCTGTCAGCACACTGGGGATCCCCAAGCCTCTGAGCTGACATCTGGGCATCGTGTCTACATGAGATGGGGGCTGCCCCCAGGTGTGGGAAGAGGCCTTTCCCCCCATGTGCTTTCAGCTTCTGGTGGATTGGGTCATCTGGCTGTCTGGGACAAGTCTCGGCTCTCTCTTCAGTGTTATTATGATGGTGGTTAGTACTCAGTTGAGGGGTTTCCCTGGGAGCTGGGTGAGGGGTCTTCCCCATGCCCCACCAAGACACCCAAGTGTATTTGGAGAGCCACAGGATGTCGCACAAGATATTGGGGACCATGTATTTCCAGCAGCCATTCTCCCCTGGGGTTGGGGAGCCGAGGGGATCTCTTCATGAATGTGCTTGAGTTTCAGTGACATCATTAGGAATGGTCACCTCGGGCCTTCAAGTCTCCTTTTGGGCCCTCAGACTCCTGGCCGGTGCTGAGCTATGGGGTCATAGGAGTCCTGAGACATCCAGGAACCACAGCCGGCAGCCCCGTTCACACCGAGCCACAGAGGCAGCAGGTATAAGGGACCAGGTGGGAACCTATGAAAGGCAAGGTGAGCCCACCCTCTTCCCTGAAGACTTCCAAGAAGAACGCAACCTGAAATGTGGATGAGGGGACTTTCCCCCCATGGAAGCATTCCAGGGAAGGAAGGAAGGAGGGCTGGAATTTGGATATGGTTCCCCACCCCACGCCACCCTTAACAAACTGACAAACATAGACAAGAAGCGTCAGTGAGAGACAACCGGCCGTCACCTGCTTCCTGATGGAAGAACATTCCAACAGTGACCAAACAGTCTTGCCCAAAAATTTGGAGCCTGAATCTCATTGAGACTCTAGATCCAACTACCAATTTATAAGAAAAACAGAGAAGAAACATGTTTAATGACACCAGGAGGATGAAGTCAGTACAATCCAGGCTTGGGAAACCCTACAGGACAAACTGCCCAGCTTCCTCAACAAAATCAATAAAAAAAAAAAAAAAAGAGCGAGCGAGAAAGGAGGAAAAGATGTGAAAGAGGAGGCTGTAGATTATAAGAGACTTAACCAATTGGAGCATGTGGGCTTATTTGGATCCTGAATCAAACACATTAAAAAATAAATTGATATTAATGACATGATTAAAATTTGAACAGTGACTGATATTTGATGACATGACTTTTTCTAGTTGTGATAATGATATCATGGTGATGCTGTCCAAAAGCTCGCCCTTATTCTGACATATCCACGAATTCGATGGTGTGAGGTCTGGGGGCTGCGGGTGGGAGGCACTGAAGCAGCCTTGGCCCCAGGTAGATACGCTTGTAACAGGGTGTGTAGGGTTTATCACGCTCTGCTGTTTCTGTGTGTGCTCGAACTTTCCTGTAGTAACACACAATGCTTTAAAAAGAATAACTCAAAGGGGTGTCTGGGTGGCTCAGTCGGTTAAGTGTCTGCTTCTTGATTTTGGCTCAGGTCGGGATCTCAGGGTTGAGAGATCGAGCCCTGAGTTGGGCTCTGCGCTCAGTGCGGAGTCTGCTTGGGATTCTCTCTCCCCCTGTCCCCAGCCTCCTCAACTTGTGCGCGCACGCTCTCTAATAAATAAAATCTTTAAATAAAATAGACTAAACCAGGGTCTCATCTACAGGGGATGACTGGTTTGGATGATGGTCGTGGAAAATGGAATCATGACAGCAGGGCCCCCTTCTAAACACAGAGCAACAACAACAAAAAAGACCAGCACTCATCGGAATGGTGAGCCTGGCCCTGTGCTAAGCTTCATCCATGTGTGACCCTACTTACTCTTCACAGCGCCCCTGTGACACAGGCGCTATTGCTATCCTCACTTACAGTGGAGGAAACGGAGGTTCAGAGAGCTTAAGAAACCTGCCTAAAGTCACACAGCTAGGAGGTGGTTTGTAGAATCCAGGCCTGAGTTTTTGACCCAATACCTGTATCCTGTCTACCCTATCACCCACCCCGCCACTTAAAAAAATGAAAAAAAAAATCACGATGACTTTCCCGATATAAAAATGCAAACTACAGAAATGATAAAGTTACATGCTACTACTCATTTTGTTTTCAAGAAGCTAGTATATATGTCAAAGCAGAGCTTCGGGCTAAAGCTCTGCCGGGGGGAGGGGGTTTGTCTTTCCACGGGGGTGGGGAGCGAGGGGAGTTCAGGGCAGTTGGTACGACCAGGGCTGGGTCTGAAGAAGGAAGGAGAAATTTTCAGGTTTTGTGTGCAAGTCCTGCTTCTCCCCATTGTGGTTCACCCGCCCCCACCCCTGAGGCTGTCCTGTCTCCTTTAAGCAAAGCAAGTGGCCTCTGATGCCACAGGGGAAACCTGAGGGTGCCCAGCATTCTGGGGCCCCCGGTGTTGCCACCCAAGGCTGAGCTGCCAGCCTCTGCCTAAATCCCAACCTCAGAAGCAAGCCCAGAACCCCAGGGACAAAGCCCTTTTTTTCTTTGCTCACTTCACTTTTTCACTGGTGAGCTTAAGGCACTTCGTCTTATAAAAAATGGCTAAGATAGTGGTCTCCCAGAGGGCTACTATGTCCAGTGCCCTCAAGAGCTTACCCTCCCCCCCAGTTTCATCCAGCCAGCCCGGAGCAGCTCCCTCCACCACCCGTGGGGCAGGTGGCAGTCCCCCGGAAAGGTGACTCAACGTACAGCCTCACAGACAACTTTGTCCAGATGTCCGATTCCTTTTTACCAAAGGTGTTAATTTTTAAGCTCAGAATAAGTGTGGAGGTTTACCCAACACACGTACAACAACGTTTACAGCAGCATGACTCATCATAGCCCAAACTGGAAGTCATGCAAATGGTACCCGCGGCGGAATGGTCAGCACGCTGCCAGAGTCCACGGGGGAGCCAGGAAGAGGACCCAGCTCCAGCCCCTCGTGACAATACGGGTGGATCTCACAATACAGAGTCGGGCAAAAGATACAGAAGACAACTCAGGGCATGACTTTGTATAAAATCCAAAACAGAGGACAGCCATCTGTGCTGTGAGAAGACAGGACAGTGGCAGCACTTGGAGGGAGGGGACTGGGCAGGGCAGGAAGGGAGAGTTCTGGGGTGCTGGTGAGGTTCTGCTCTGTGATCAAGGTGCCCGCTGCACACTTGTGTTCACTTAGAGTAAAAGTCATCCAGGTGTGCTCTAATGAGCTGGGTTTTTTGAAGAGACTTTTTTAAAGATTTTATTTATTTATCGGTCAGAAGAGAGAGCATGTGCGCACAAGCAGGGGGAGCATCAGAGGGAGAAGCAGGCTTCCCGCTGAGCAGGGAGCCCGATGCAGGGCTCAATCCCAGGGCCCTGGGATCATGACCTGAGCCAAAGGAAGTTGCTTAGCCAATTAAGCCACCCAGGTGTCCCTAATGATGTTTTTATAGAACACCTCAATAAACATTTCAGAAATGCACGCAGATTCAAAAGAAAATTCATTATTTTCTAGTAATGCTGTTTGGGGACAAGCAGGGTGTGACACGGTTCCACCAGGAGAAGGTATCAAGTCGACAATGACCCACTTCAGAAGGATGTGCCCAAGCAGTGGGTGATGCTCTGGCCCCTCTACCTGAGCCTCAGGACCTTACCTATGTCTTCCTTGAGGTCAATTTCGGCTGTGGTTGGGTGGACAATGCCCTCCACTCTCATGGAGCCAATATGGCTGATGTCACTCTGGGTCAGGGACAGCTGTGTCAGGAAGGGAAGATGGGAGAGTGTGGGAAAGATCAAATCCAGTTAAAATCTTCACATTTCACGTCCCGTCTGTTAATTCTCATGATTATATATAGCGAATGTCCACAGAAAGGACCGGGACATAGAGTGACTGTCAAGATTGCCAGGTGTCTGGCCTTTGGTGGGCTCTTTGCAGCTCAGTGGATTTAGTTTTCACTAAGGCGACGGCAGCATGCGACGAATCTGCCTCCTGTTCTAGGAGCAGGATGGGGCCCTCGCCTCGTCTTCTCTTCCCTAGAGCTATGCCTCCGTCTCCCAGTCCTGGGGGCCTTGGTGTGCGGTGACACACAGTCTGAGCGGCTCCTAGGAGGGAAGCCCGGGCTGGCTCTCCCCCTCCCCACTCAGCATCCCAATTCTCCCCAGAGCAGCCTGGACCTCTGGGGGCAGGAACGTGCGGCCGAGGGACCTCACTCAAGAAAAGTGATGGGCTCCGGGACCCTGACCTGCCTTCATCAGACCACCTTGCCTTTGGGGGACCACATTCTTGGGGCTACCCTTGTGAAATGCTGCCCTAGGTGCACACAGCTCAGTGGAAAGCAGGGCATTTTCCACTGTTTCCCCTGTGAGCACGACAGTCACATTCCCCTCGGTAAGGGACAGAAAGCTAATTGTCGCGCAGCCATAGCCAGCCCCTGCAGGGAACCTCAATGCCGCCTCTTTGCTTCCCTGTGCTCATCAGTGAAAAATGAGGAACCCACCCCAGGTACACTCTTCTCGAACACGCTCTTCCCATCTGCTGCAGTCGCGGTGGATCCTTTCACCAGGCTGCAAACATTCAGCTCCCAGAGATGTGATTCGCTGACTGTTTCCCTGTGTGTGTCTTACTTCAGCCCCGTTTGACGTGGCAGATAAATGGTCTATTCCGTAAACTTTACGCTAGTGGGAATGAATTATTTGCACGTCTGTCTTGGCATACAACAGACTGTTGCATGTCTTGTGGCAACAGACTGTTCAGACGCATAGCCCTGTTTGTTTTCTTTCCGCAGTCTAAAAAGGCAAGCAGACTGAATTATTGGCAAATAATTCATTTCTAACACCGGAGATGTTCAGGAAACATCTATTTCTATTTTCTTTTTCTGATAAATCACATCGAACCATGTCCGGCTGGACTCCCAGAGCTATTTGAGAGAGTTAGCTGAGGATGTTTTGGGCAGGCCCAGGGGGGCGTGGGGAGTTCCCGGCAATGGTGCCATTCTTTTGCCTGACCTGGAAGCTTCTCTATCTTTGTCTGACCGATGGCACCATGAACACTTCTCAGCACTAAAGAGCATGTTGATTCTCACAATACAAACCCTGTCAAAGCCCTTTAGTCTAAATGTAAATAATTCAAGACCAGAGTGAGAGTCCTTTTGGGGGAGCAGGGATGAAGGAAGCATCATTGCTTGTGGCAAATAGGAGGTCATAAAAATGCAATAGCGTTTTTACTACAGCACATCACAATGGTCTTTATTACCTTCTGCCCTAGAACAAGGCTCTTAGAAGACAGAATGGTGAATCCATCCCCTGGCCCATCTTCGGAGGTGGAATTTGAAGTTCCTTCTTTATCGCTGTCCTTTGGTTTGGACTGTTGGTAGAAATCAGAAGGACAGATGGGAACTAATCCAGAAAAAGTCCCAAGTGGCGTTATTAAGTTCTTCCTGTGGCTATGACCACCTTGGATACGAAAGGAAGTGGTTAAGTGTTCCTTTCGGTGGAGGGAAGCAAGGACAGCGATACAAGGGAAAGAAAAGTGTACCGCCCCAAAGAAAGAGTGTTAAAGAAGTTCAAAGGTACCTGTATTCCTCACTCAAATCTGGACATAGGTGTGTTATTCTTGTCCTCTGCAATGCCTACAGCTTATGATGGCAAGCCTCAGAACGAAGCGTGGTCATTCCTAGCCCACTGTTCCACCTCCCTTCTCCCCAGGATTTCCCTGGGGCACGGAGGCAGCGGAGTGAACCCTTATAAACCTTTTGTGTTATCACAGAGGTCTGTGGAATGGAAATGTGACAACCCCTGCAGCAGCGTTGTCCAGTAGAACTTTCAGTTGATCACAGAACCGTTTTACGCCTATTGAGCACTTGAAATGCGGGTGATGTAACCAAGGAACCGGATTTTTAATCTGATTTAGTTTTAATGAATTCCAATTCAAAGAGCACATGTGGCTAGTGGTTCTGGTACTAGGCGGCATATGAAAGTCTTACTCTGTAAATGGCATCTCCCAGCTGTGGCTACCTAGCACATCTCACTGGCTAGTCCCAGGGGACTGTCTGTGGCAGACACACAGTCTGTAGGAGACAGAGGTGTTTTTGTGCATGATGAGGAGCTCTAAAGAGAAATGATAAACTCCAGGCTATCATCTCTCACTTAAGATTTTGACGGGGTCAGTGGAAGCATCTGGCAATGTGAAGACCACCCGTGCTTTGGCTTTGAAAACCTCTAGTAGACCCTGCTTGGTGGTTTAAGCTCTTGTCCCAGAGGCCCCTTGCCATTTTCTCCCAGTGGGGAGAGTCCCCAGCCCATCAGCAACGCTGGCTACACTCTCATCTTCTGAGGTTTCAGCTTCTCCTGTTCTCTGAGAGTCCCTGGCTCACACAGCAACCTGGGCTCACCTTTTTGGACGTCCGTGGTTTGGCTGCCTTGGATTTCTTGCCTCCCTTCTTGCCCGATGCCGCCTTCCTTCCCCTTTTCTCCGGGGGAGGGGAGAGGATACTTTCCGACTTGCCTTTGGTCCCTCGCTTTTTGGCCAGAAGTTCAGGGTGAATTCTGGGCAGGACACCTCCACTGGCAATGGTCACTCCTTTTAGCAGCTAGAAAGAGAAACATGTGAACTCAGGCAGCAAAGAGCTTGCTCGTTCTGGATTTAATACTGTTCTAACTGATGGCAAAACAAGTGTTACATCTGGCCTTTGCTTTCCCAGAGACACTATGTGATTAGTGGTTTCACTGGCTTTCCTGTTTCACCGGTAGAGCATGTCTCTGTAGGTATCCAGGCATCCCATGGTCCCGTACAGAAAGCAAAACAAGGAAGGCACGAAGAAAGGGTGGAAGGGTTGCAGCCAGCAATGTTGCCCAGGTGTGGAATTCTAGACATAAAGGAGGATAAAGAGTTTTGCAGGTGGAGAGCTTTGCTTGACAAAACTGGGTTCAAAGGTCCATGCTAGGGCTAGACCCAGCTAACAACAGATCAGTGGTCTCCCCGCTCTGGGGATCATGCATTCCATCTGTAAAGTACGCTGGACTGTGCGCCTCTCCATTAACGTTTACTTTGTACATAACTGACATGTGCTGCTGTATTAGCACAGTCTGCACATCCCGAAACAGCTCGGGGACTCCAAGGGTGGTCTGCAGCCAGGACTGGCCCATAGACAGGCAGTTACTGTCCAGGGCAAGAGAAGTACAGATATGGCAAGGAAGAGCCCAGAAACTTTTAAAGCAAGCTGACAAAGGTATCAAATAGCAAAGAATTGTGGCTTGCGGTTTGTATGTTTTTGTTTTTTTAAAAATGTTTCTGGCAATTAGTTTTTATTGTATATTTGGAAATTATCAGTCCATGATGGACTGGAAAGAGGAGCTGATTCTTCACCACACACAGTTTGAGAAGAAAATGATTAGAATAAAAATTCTTACACCATCCACCATCCATCTCACATTTCCCGGGGGAGGTATTCACAACACTTGGTAATTAATTCTATGCTAAGAAGAAGATTCTCCTGTCCTCATCAGAATAAATCATCAACAAAATTCAGGTGAAGAAACCATGAATAGCATCTCTGCACTGTATCTTCCCCAGCCACACACAGAGCTCACTTCTAGAGAGGAAAAGAAGGTCTGGCAAGACCCAGAGTAGGTAATGGGTTTATTCCAGAAGCAATTTTCTCTCTGAATGACTGAGCTAGCAGAAATGGTTCTTCTCCTACACAATCTGAAAAAAAAATTTTTTTTTTTTTAATATGCTTGGGAACTATAGCAGGAATGATAACGTAGCCAACCGGGTCCGTGAGCCGTTGTGTGTCTGGCAAACATGGCTTGTCGTGATGTTTCAGACAAGACGTACCTGGTTGAGCTCCTCGTCATTGGCCACCGCTAGCAGGATGTGTCTCGGTGCTATCCGGGCCTTCTTGTTGTCCCTCGCGGCATTCCCAGCCAGTTCTAGAATTTCCGCTGAAATCACGATGGAGAGTTAATAGGCAATCACAGAACGGGGTCTGAGATTTCTAGAGCTTTTCTTTGGAAATGGTCTTTGAATGTGATCACATTGATGCATTTGTGAATTTTAATGCCAGGGCCTGGAAAGAAATCCGGAAAGCTGGAAAGAACTCAGGTTACAGACGATGACGATATTTTAGCAAGTCCTGCTGTATGATCCCATGGCAGTCTTCCAGTGGCCCTCACATTAATTCTCCCTCATTTTCCTTAGCATCTGGACCGCTAACTTTTTGTTGAGCCCACCGTCACAAGAGAAAAAGGTATTTCCCAACCTGTCTTGTTGATAACTGTGGTCATGTGACTAGATTCTGGCCAATGAGAGGGAGGCGTCCTCCTGTGAGGTACTTCTGGGAAGTGTCCATCAATGGCGGGACTGTGCCCTCCTTCCCTTTCTGCTGGCAGACTGGGAACGTGATGGCTGGAATTTTGCCCAGAGGAAGAACAAAACAGAAGGAACTGGAGTCTCTTGTGATGGTGGAGGCTCCTGACTGGCCTGTCCTTCCTTACTCCTGGACTGTCTTTCTCAGCTTCTTTTGTATGAGAGAGAAGTAACCTCTCCCGTTTAAGCCACAGTCAGCAGGAGTTAATGCTGACCAGTATGGAGCCCTAACACAGGACTGGAGTCTCAGTCTCAGGAGAGCAGGGCCATCTCTGAAGAGGATAGTGATGTAGGCAGAGTCTATCTTTGGTGCCCACTGGGACATCTTCCAGAATCTCCTTTTCCTCTTCACTTGATGCCCCAGGTCCCTCCTGTCCTAAAGGAAAGTGGATGGGAAGAACTAACTCGTACTGTGGGATGAGGAAATGTTTAACCCGGAAAGTGAATTCTGAATGCGGGATACCTACAAGGCTTGGAAGGAAGGTATTTGGGGTTTGGGGGGTTTCCACATATCCCTCAGGATCTGACTTTACCAACCATGTCATTTGATAAACGTGAAAGGGCTGATAAAGAGGAATTTTCCTACAATTCTCTTACGTGTCATCAAAATTCTTAGTCAAAATTTAAAAAAAAATCTGTAGAATTGGATCATACCATCTATATGCTTTCCTCCTTTCCTCTCTTCTTTCTTTGTCAACTTCAGACGGATGTTCTGCTAATCAAATTTGTCCACCTTCAAAAGTATGTGAAGCTTTAAGGAAAAATTCCTTCACTTAGAACGCTAGAGGCATGTGCCAATGTGTTGTCTCACTGATACTGTGGTGGCGAAGTGTGTGTGTATGTGTGTGTGTTGGGAGAATTTGCTGGTACAATGGCATAAATACCAAGCTCTAAAATTAACAGGCAATTCTGTGTGAGTCTTTACAATCAACCTAATTTCAAATAAATAGCACATGAAATTGCCATCACTCATAAAAATCTATGGCAATAAAAAAACTGCCTAAGTATGCCATATTAACTAAGCAAATGTGATTAACAAAAAATTAGAATAAAATACGCATTAGAGTTAAATATTTATATAGAATTTCCATAATGAAAAGTTGTAAATCACTGCAAATTCATTCTCACAAGATCTTTTCCAGGTTATTAAGCAATGAATATCGTGTTTACCCACAATCCATTTATACAGTGGCCGTGTTTTCAGAATCAAAGACTGGGGGATGGTAGTTTGAGAAGTATGACCACGCTTGGTTGGGACGATGGGATAGAGTATTTGAAATTCATGCCCTATTAGGTCATCTGGTTGGCTAGTTCAAGCTGCTGACCAACCCTTTTTTCCCTTGAAAGAAGGGTATCCATCACAAAGAACTGTAGTTATGAAGTTTTCACAAATAGGCTGGCTTTTTCGACTCTAGGTTAAAATGTACAGCTCCCCATTTGTACAATAAAAAGGAGTTGCCTGCACCTGCTCATTTAGGGGGTTCCTCCTGGGGGGAAGGAGGACTCCTCTCAGCCCTTTTTCTAGATTGGGTGGGGGAGGTCAAGGAGCCCCCCACTTTTAAACTTCTGAGCCACTGAATTTAATTCAGGATCTGGGACTACCACTTTTCTGCCTGTGTCTCCCGCACTTAGAGGAAGACGTTAAGCGCCCTGCCATGTTCTGCAAATTAGCTGTCAGCATGAGAGGCAGGGTAAATGGGAAGCCTGACAGACTTGGAGCCTTCAGGAAGCCCCCTGAGGTCGGGCTATTTTCAGCTTGACAGGCAGGATGCACACACATTGGATTCACAGACGGACAGCCTGCCGGAATCCAAGGCAGCACAGCCCGGCCAGCATGCCACTGGACTCCCGGACTAGCCCTTTCTGAAATCAGAGAGGAGAGAAAAACCTCAATTCTGTACTCCAGTAGAAAAACAGAGGTAGACTTTTGCTGTAGAAAGAGAAAAACTTCTTAACAATACACAGCTGAAAATCTAGACCAAGGAATTCTCTGTCGGATAGGTGGTCTGATTGTTCCTTGGGACAAGGACTTCATGGTTTAAAAGTCTGAAATAACATTATTATTAATATTTTCCAAATGTTATTATGACCCATATATTCACATGAACTATAAATGTTTGTTACATTCTTGAGTGATTTTATTGGTTTTGAGAACATAAGTATCCTTTTATTGGCAGTCAGTAGGAAAAATGGATTTCTATAGCACAAATTTGTTTCGCTGAAAATTTTGTGGGAAGATTATTATTCTGTGAAGTGGTGGAGACTTCCTTGGGAGTCTATAGACTTCTATATTCTTGGAATTCACACTTCCAGCAATAGGAACCATCTGGAATACGGCTTAGAATCTGGTCATAAAAAAAAAAAAATGATTTCTGTAGCCAAAAGGGATTTTGGAAATCTCATCATGCACGTAATCTCGGAAGAGCTGGGTCCTCTCGTTTTGTCCACAGTCTGACCAGCATTGGCTACCTGAGCCCACGGGAGCCCGGAAATAGCAGAGTGACTGCAGGGCTGGGGCAGAGGGCACGGCGTGGCCACGCCTTCAAGACTGTTTCCTTCCTCAGCCCCTTCCTTCCTGCCCATTTGCCCATGAGGTGATGATGCCCCCAGGGGTCTGTCTGGGCCCTCTGGTCTGCCCAGGCCATGCAGTCTTCCAGGGAAACCCCATCCATTCACGGCTCTAGCTTCTCTGTGCCACCAGATCCGCACCTCCAGTCCTGATGGGATGTCCCCTGGACAGCCTCCCCTGGCTGTTCCACAGGTAAATCGAACTTACCACATCCCCAAATCCAAATCATTTCCTTGGGGTGGCAGCTCTAACTCCATGCAGTTCCTCCCAGAGACCTGCAAGTCCTTCCCTCCATCTCCCCTTCTCACCTCCTCCTGGCCTCACGAGTCATACCTCTTCTCCATACCTGCTGCCTGAGGGTCTGAGTTCAGGCCCTCTTCTCTTTGAGCCCAGAGAGTGGTCATGGCTGCCCAAATGGTTTCCTTGCCCCCATTTTTGTCTTCCTCCAGATCCATGCCAACAACACCACTGCTGGCCCATAGACACCTTTGTACAAATTCCAGGTCCTTTCTGCCAGACACTTTGCTTCCCTGATTTTGTCAGAACAACACCCTTTACTGCCATCTGCTGGCAATCCTCATAATAAATATACAAATCTTCGAGGTTATGAGCGGAATGATATTCCCACACGAGTGGAATGTGTGTCCTTGCAAGTGTACAACCTGTACAACCATACATGTGGCCCTGGATGCCAAAGTCATCTTTTCAAAAATACAAATGTAATAAATGAAAATCATTAGATAAACAAATGCATGTTGTTAAATGGAAAGACCCAACTGTCTGGAAATGCTGTAAATGATGGGTTTCTATGTGACACAGTGACTTAAGGTACCTGGAAATTCAAGCTCTTTTAAAGGCCTATTTGTCCTATCAATTAAAAGTATATTATAGAACATTTCCTCACTACAAAAATTATTTAAATTATTCACTTTTAATATCTTACATTTATGCTATATCTGTTGTTGGTAAATACAAAACTATTTTCCAGGATTGGGGGCTTGCTTTTCAGTCCATCTTCCCTCACTTCTATTGGAGATGTGAGCTGGACCAACATTTACAGACGACACACTGAAATATGAATGTGATGTCCATTCTGGGAAGCTTGAGAATGTCTCAGGTGGAAGGAACACTCTAGATGCGTAGTTCAGCATGCCTCTGCTACCAGACTGTGCAACCTCCTCCCCCTTTCTTGGGTCTTAGAAACACTGCATGGCTCTAACATCCTGGTGATGTATGAACCAGGGCCCAACCTGGCAGCCAGTCCGGAGAAATTGGGCAAGGCAGACTGCTTTCTCTTGCCCATCCACTGTGGGCATGAAGAGCACAGTCTGCTGTTGAGATCAGGGCAGGAGAGAAGAGCTGAATGGTGAGACTTATAAGCTCTTTTACGAGGTTCAGTAAGGAGAGACAGCAAAGGTGATGCTCTGTGGGTAGGACGGTGTTGCCCAGAGGCTGATGTGTTCGTATGGGGACACTGTAGTGTGCTCATCTGTACCCAGCTGTCCCTCTGCTTCTGGGAACCAGAGGAGAGACCTATCCCCTTCGACCAGAGCCTCCAGCCAGCTCCGGAGGCCCCATGGGTCCTACTTCTCTGATGGGCCCCTTGTCTCCAGCATCTGCAGCTTCTCTCCCTCTGCCTGGGAGGCTAGATCATTGTTAGTGCCAGGATATTCTTTCCTGCTTTGTTGAAAACTGACCATATAATTCTGGGTTCATTTCTGGGTTTCCTATTCCAGTCCATTGATCTACATGTCTGTTTTCCTGCCAATACCATGTTGTTTGGATGACTACAGTTCTGCAGTTTTATAACTTGAAGTCTGGAATTATGATGCCTCCAGTTTTTTCTTTTTTAAGACTTCTTTGGCCATTCAGGGTCTTTCTGTGGTTCCATACATATTTTAGGGTTGTTGGTTCCAGTTTCATGAAAAATGCGGTTGGAATTTTGATAGGGCTTGCGTTAAATCTATAGATTGCTTTGGGTAGTGTGGACATTTCAACAATACTTGT